CCCACCCCAGAACCCTTCCAGAGCACCCTGTGAGGACCCCACGAGCTCCCCTGCTTGCACACGAAGCAGCTGTTCAATGGTTGCAGCTGTGGCAGCTGAGACATGGCAAGTTTCCAGGACTCCTGCAAGTGACCCTCCACCACTCCCTCCCCACTCTCTGAAAAGGGTGTGAGGAAGGGATTGCAGCTAGCCTGGGACCCAGGCTCATCCCTGATTCCACCATCACCTCTTTCCATTAAGGGCTATAAGGATCACTTGATTTATATCTGACAGTTTAACATCTCTCAGGCAATGACTGCTTGAGTTTTTATTTAAAACAGTGAACTTGGAGCACGGAGCAGAAGAGAAAACCTATTGAACACCAAATTCTAACCCTAAGATTGCCCCACATCAGCCTGGGATGTATCACAGCCAAGGCAGACACAGCACATGGCTGGATCTGTGGAATCTACCCTGGCTCTGCTGTTGAAAGGAAAGTGATTGTGACCCTGAAAGGAGAGCTGGAGCTTAAAGATCTCAATTTTATTGCTATCAATTAAAGGTCAAAACAAAAGACACACTTGTTTCACAGTTACTGGTGTCCCAACCCAAGGTCTTTCTAGGAAGGTCTTGCAGACTAATCAAGTGGGTGGTGCATGCTGTGAATCTCTCCTTATTCCCATGTCTCCATCGCCCAGAGCACCAGGTCCCTGAGGGTCCCGTGTCCCCATGTCCACATCAGCTTCTGCACCTCCCTCAGGGAGATTGCTGTCCTGAAGTAGAGAGCAAACTTGGCTAAGAGGCTTTGAGAGGCAGGCGCTTTGTGTAACCTGTAGAGCAGAAAGCAGTGCACAGCAAGGACTCCCGGTTCTGAACGGAGGGTAAATAAAGTCTATGCCATGAGTGTGGCTAGGACCACACAGTTACTGAAATTTACCAGGGAAATTTATACCATTAATGGACTAAAATCACACAATGATCCAATTTTTATATTACTAACTGACTTTAGTATTATTTATGAGGTAAAAAAATTTTTTTGAGCACTCAATGGATTCTGTGAAATTTCCTGGTGTCTGCAGGTCCCGAGGCGGTTTCCTCAATCCTTGCAGATTGGATTTAGTCATTTGGCCACAGGCTGATCATTTAGCCTTCAGAGCACTTCCTGAGTCCCACAGAGCTTTCCTGGTCCCTATGGAGAAACAGTCTGATATCTCCAGACACTGTCTCCGGTACTTGGATTCTTGGCTACTTGGCAACTTTGGATTTTGTTAAGTTCCATTTACAGCAATATTGCATCCTGCATTGGTCCCTCCACTAACACTGTAGTATCTGCCCTGGCCATTTCAAGTGTCTATGTATTTATTAATGTGAACGTGTCCCTTGTGTGATGGCTTAACTTATTCTGGACTCTAACAATCAATGAAAAACTCTTCTATGGAAATATACTTTGGTTCCTTTTATTTCAAAAATTATCCCTCAGCAGAGGGTTCGTGTGTCCAATTGGAGATATTTAATTGAACAATTGAAACAACTTGATAGAGGTATCAAGAATTCTTTTAGAAGTAAAAATTGTTTGCATGTAAAAAGTACAAACCTGATGACTTACTGTACTGATGGAAGGAAAGATGCACATGGGTGCTGCTTGATGGAGAGGGTAGAGCATGTGCTTGGACCTGGATTGCAGTTTTTGGAAGGGGGGCTGTGTCCCAGTGCTTCCCACAGCATGAGACATAAACATGGCAATGATTCTTGAATCCCCAACAGGTGGCCTCTGCCACTGTAACCTAAAGAAAGTTGAAGACATGTCAGTGGTATGAGGGGGTAGAAAAGAAAGGAAGACAAGAGCATGCAAAATATGACAGAAAAATGGGGGAGAAAAGGGGAAACCATTTATTTTAAAGCCAATGAATCTAGCAAAAATAGGTGAAGAATTAAAGAAAAATATATGGCATCAAATTTGACCAAAAAAATTAAAATCTGAAATGAAAACATTGGGAGAAGGTAAATTTCTGTTTTCTATTTACTTGAGTTTGGGTGGTAACAAGCTTATCAAAATTATACAAACCTTCAACCTTTAAGAGAATTCAAAAATAAAAATTCCTTCCAAAATTATTATAGGAAATCTTGAAAATCTACAAACTAAAAAAGATATGAAAATGTTAGGAAAAGTCAAAGACTGATAACAGTCAGGACTAAAATGCAAAAAGCTTCCAAAAAATTTAATTTATGTAGCTGTATAGTCAATTAACAGACTTAGTGAGTATTTATTGTATCATAGTTGTTAGGCTGAAAATTCAATATTAATAGCTATAATTTTGCATGATGCTTCTGAAAAGTATAACTTTTCTGTTTCATTAACTTTTGATGTTGTCCTATTTCCTTTTTTAATTTTTACATCAATCTAATTTTTCTCCCTTTTTATTTGGAATAAAACCTAAATGTGTAGTATGATCATGCATTTTATCTAATATATAAGACTTCTGTAAATTCTCGCTTTATGCACTGAAAAAATGCAAGGAGAACAAAATAGGGAACTTATTGAAAGACACAGTGCTCTTTAATGTTAGAGATGAGATGAGCTTGCAGATGGTTGTTCTCAAACAACTCGTTTGCCAACAGGGTGAAGACAAAACTCTATAATTAATTTACTGTCTACAATTAACTTTCTATCAACATTTTTCACCAATTTTATTAGAGAAAACTTAATTGTAATAAAGCACAATGATTCTAAATTTTTAGCTTGTTCAATTTAGGCACACAAATGCATCTTAATAAATATTTCCAAAATCAAGATGTACAGTGTTACTCCAAAACTAAAAAGCTTTTGCCTGGCTTTTTGCCAAATTTACTCTCCATTTTGTGGAGTAATCAAACCCAGATATACCTCTTTTCAGTATAGATTACATTCTCCTTTTCTAGTACTTTAAATAAAAGAACTCATAAGCTTCTATTCTCCAGCAGCTTCCCACTTTTCCACAATACACTGTAGTTGTATTTTAGATCCATATATGTTGTTCCATGTAAAATAATATAACTTTATTTCTGAATATTATTTAATATTTTATAGTAGGATAATTTATTCTTTCATGTTTTGTTGATGCCTTGGGAAGTTTTCATCCCAGGTTGACATGAATGAAGCTCGTTTGATTAATCTTACAAAAGATGCGGGGTGAACAGGTGTTTTCAAGGTCCTCACTCAGAGGCGTGGGAGTGTTACTGTTGGGTAACATAGGAAAGTTTTAAAACTCTGCCAAACTGTTTCCTAAGAGATATAAAGTCTTCATTTACAACGGAAATCACCAGACATTCAGGTGCTCCTGGTACTTGTTTGTGTTTTAAAAGATTTCATTTAACTGACATCTGACAATAAGCAAAAGAGCTACATTTCAGTAAGACGTTTATTATCATTTATCGACTACCACTTTCATGCCATGTGTCATGATTAACAAGTTTTAGAACTTTTCTTCTTTTCTACAGCCCATTGAAAAGGCAGAAGTTAGTAGAAAAGAAATTAACAATTACTGCAAGGTTAGGTGATACTTAAGAACATTCTATCTGTGGGATGAGGAGGCAGAGGAGTAGAGAAGGGAGGCTCCTGTAGCTGAATCTGAGATTTTTGAGGGGAAAAATGAAAGAGTGTAGACCTAGAAGACTATCTCTGTGTAGTGCAACCATCACGCTTGGAAAAAATAAAGCCTTGCTGGTGGCCCTGTGCTAACCTAGCCGTGTGCTATTGTCTTCCAGAAGCTTTAACCCAGTTGTTCACACTGGGCTGAGATGCTGTGACTGGGGAGATGTTCAAGTGACATAGTCCTGGAGCCACATAGGAAGATGTGAAAATAAAGAGATGAGATGTTATTCAGCAGGAAGTGAAATCACCTCTACTCCTTCATGTTTAGGAACCAGATCAGTGAGAGCATAGCTAAAAGCTGGGGAAACCAATAAGGGGCATAGAAAGGCCCAGAGCAAGTTCAGTGCAATACGTGGCTCTGAGTGGTTTAGGAGAAGAGCAGTGACAGTTCTACTGTTGCTCCTGAAAAAACAGACAACAACATGGGCACCATAATTTAAAACCTCCTCTCCACATTTGAAAATTATTATAGATTCACAGCATTCAGTTCAAATATCTCTGTATCCTACTATTAACTGCCAAAATACAATCAAACTAAGAAAACCCAATTCCAACAGGTTTAGTAAACTACGATATTCAGTATAGAACAGAAGATATAAAGGAAGTCTTCATCGTAGCCAAATACATTATTCAGTATTTTCATTATTATATTCGATAATTTGGGGTATTTTGATTTTAGCTTTTGAAAATCTCCCATATTATAAATTCTAGGGCTTTGTCATTCTGAAAAAGAAAAAAAAATTATAGGAAAAATAAATCATGAATGACTTACAGGAAATAAAGAATGAGACAAAGAACAGGTAGAATATGGAGCATGTTCAGGGCAGTGAAGCAACACTGCTGCACCAGGAGTTGGATTATATCTTCATATAGTAGTTTATGCAGGTAAAACGTACAACACGGGGACTGTACTGCAATATGACTGTGCACTTGGGATGTAATCAGACTCTGATTGACAGTAACAAAAATGTTGATGATAGAAACTATGTATCAGTGGAAGTGGGTAGAAGGGACACTTTTGCACCATAAATTGTGTAGTGAACTTACATCTACTTTGAAAATGACATAAGTCATTAACAATTCTTCCTTGGAGCACATGAAAGGGCTTCTCCGATGCTGTGTGAATCCAAAATGATGCCATAACATACATTGCTCAGGGACACTCTTGGTGTCCTCCATTAAATCAGTACAGGCATTGTGATGTTGGTGCCCCAGGAACTGAGGAGGAGGAAAGGGATTTAGGGTGCAGAGGACCCTCCCTTCAGCCTCCACCAAACACTTCCAGGGAAACTAAAGCCAGGCTTCATCTGAGCAATGCTCTGAGCAGGTAGAGACAGCAGGGGTGGCAGCTGAGGCAGCCCAGGCTCACACTTCTGCTTCCCTGGGTGGTTTATGTCATGGCTTGTATCACTGTGGGAGGTAAACTATTACCCTGCTGACAGTAATAAGTTCCAACATCTTCAGCCTTCACACTGTTGATGGTGAGAGTGTAATCTGTCCCAGATCCACTGCCACTGAACCTTGCTGGGACCCCAGATCCCAAATTAGATGCATAATAGATCAGACGTTTAGGAGCTTTCCCTGGTTTCTGCTGATACCAAGCTAAGTATTTGTTTATGTCCTGACTCGCCCGACAAGTGATGGTGACAGTGTCTCCTATGGATGCAGAATGCAAGGATGGAGACTGGGTCATCTGGATGTCACATCTGGCACCTGAGATTAGAAACATAACAAATATCAGCACAAACATGATCAAATAGGGGCTCTGTGAAGAGTAGGCCACTCTGACCACACTAAATAGAGTATATTCCCAGTTCAATCTTTCCTCACCTTGGAGCCAGAGCAGCAGCAGCCCCAGGAGCTGAGCGGGGGCCCTCATGTCCATGCTGTGTCCTCACTGGCACTGACTCCTGCACAGGGTGTGACCAGCCTCTGAAGAAGTCTGCAGGGCAGTGGGCTGTGCTCTTGGCACATGCAAATCAGCAGGGGATGGGAAGATCTGAGCACAGCTGCAAGACTGGCTCCTCTCAGCACTGCACCAGGGCCTCTCTGTGGTTCCTGTCCAGAGCAGGGCAGCACAGATTTCCTGCAGAGAACATGTTTCTCCTCTGGGGTACAGGACACAATCTGGCTGCTTTCCCATGAGTAGAGTGAACTATTCTCTTTGTGATGCAGAGGAAACTATGCATCTCTGAATAGAGATGGGTTCTTTTGAGTTTTGTCCCTTCTGTCTCTGAATTCACAAGGCCACTTACTCCTTGTTTCCCTCATGGCTTCTGCCACTCAGAGTTGTATACCTTGTTCTCCCTGTCACACTGTCTCGTTACTGACTCAGAGTTTGGACTCTACTCCTGGAAGAGGCATCATAGTCAGTGTTATGGTTTGGGTCTAGATGTCCTCCCAAATCCTCATGCAGGTATAGGTTGCTTTTCCAGAGGTGGCTGAATCTACGATGTGTGATACTGGGATGAAGGTTGTGTGATTTCTAAATCAGTATACTGATCGCTTTGGCACTGGTGGCCTAAATACAATATATGGGACAGAAAGAGGCTCGTCTTTTCCCTTGTTGTTACTTTTGCTGTCTTCTACTTGCCATGAGCTTCTTCTTTGTGATGTTGCTCTGCCAAGCCATCCTGCTTTGGACCCAGCCAATTATGGACTAAAAATTCTACACACTGTGATCTAAATATACTTTTTCCTCTTTAATTTAGAATGGCAAGTATTTTGTCTCCATAAGGACAGAAAAGTAGCTCAGATTGCCAGTATATATTACCAAACAAAATGTAAAGCAGGAAATACTAAGAAAGTGGCAGGTGAGGGACATCTGGCCCATTGTGCACAGAGTCCCTGGAGCCAAGTGAGCTTAGACAGCTGAGCAGAGAGCTCCCTGCCTCAGTGGTTCCTTAAAGGGAATGAAGGTATCACTTCTGCAATCTCTGTGTTTCTAGGATGAGCCCTCTGTGCTTTGCTTATTGTGGGGTTGTTTGTCATCTAATGGAAGATTTGTGATGCAGAACCTTCATGGTTTGGGGCCCCAATGAATTGACCAAATGTTTCTCCCCTATTCCAGAATCTGGCCTTATTCTACCCATAACCAGGCAGGATTCTGTAGAAAATTGAAGTAATTCTTCTGAAATGATCATCCATAAGTTAAGGACAAAAGACTTACAGTTCACCTGGAATTTTGAAAAGATAATAGAGGCAGGTCAGTTAAGGTCCAGGCATGTGACCATATGAAATTACAAAGATATAGTTTTAAGAAAGAGTAGGGGGTCCAAGTCATTTTGAAACAAGAAGATCACTGGAACAGTTTAGAAGATGCAGAAACAACTCTGGACACACTCAGCTTCCGCATCTTTGACGATGTAGCCAAACACCCTCAGTGAAGGAAAGATAGCATCTTTAAAAAGGTGCTGGAAGAATTGGGTTTCAACTTGCCAAAGGTTAAAACTAGACCTATATATCTCACCATGAACAAAACTAAAATTGAAATGTATTGGATCTCTAAATATTAAAAGAGAAACACTAAACCAGATCAAAGAGAAGTTAGGCAGAAATCCGGGTAGGAAAAGATTTCACGAACAAAATCTTAGTTGCAAGTGAAGTACCACAATGAACAACTGAGATCTAAATGTAATAAAAAGCTTCTGCACAGCAAGAGAATCCCAACAGAGTGAAGAGACAAAATACAATGTGGAAAAAAAAAATTACCAGCTGTTTCTCACACAAAGGTCTACTATCTAGAATATATAAAGAGCTTTAAAAAAATCAGGCCTCCCACATTTAAAGACTCAATCCAAAAATGGACATCTGAAATGAAGAGATATTTCTCAAAGAAGTAGAAACAGCAAATTAACATATAAAAATGTTTACCATCACTGGTTTTTCCAGAGGTGCAAATAAAATCAGTACTGAGAATCCCCTTCTCTCCAGAGAGAATGCCTGCTACCCAGAAATCAACCAATGGAGTTGTGGGGAAAAAAGAACTCTTCTTCACTGAGGGTGGCTGTGTAGACTTGTGCAACTACTGTGGAAATCAGCATGGAAATACTTCAAAAACTAGGATTAGAGGTTCCATTTGACCCATTAAGTGACCTTATGAATTCAGAGATGGAGGGGACAGAACCCCAAGAATCCATCTCTATTGAGAGATACAAACTTGTTCTGAACCACAAAGAAAACAATAGTTCACTGTATGCATGGGAGAGCAGCCTGATCCTACCCTGTGCCCCAAGGAGAAACATGTTCTCTGCAGGAAATCTGTGGTGCCCTGGTCTGGACAGAGATACCAGAGAACTCTGGGCTTGTGCTGAGATGAGTCAGCCTTGCAGCACCCAATCCCTTCTGATTTGCATGTGCCCAGAGCACAGCCAGCTACTTGAGGAATTTTTAAGAGACTGCTGGTCACACCCTGTGCATCATTCAGTAGCAGTCAGGACACAGCATGGACATGAGGGCCCCCATTCAGTTCCTGGGCTACTGCTACTCTGGCTCCCAGGTAAAGCAGGAGAGTGCTGTGTTACACATTTGAGTGTGGTCAGTGCTGGCTGTACAGGGAAATCTTCCAAAATGATTTTCTGACCTATTTTCATGTTTCTTTTTCCAGTGTCAGGTTCTGGATATGACATCCAGATGACTGAGTCTCCATCCTCTCATTCTGCATCTATAGGAGACTCTGTCTTCATCAACAGCAAGGCCAGTCAGAACATAGTAATTTAGCCTGGTATCATCCAAAACCAGGGAAATCTCCTAAACTCCTAATCCGTTTAGCAACCAGTTTAGATTCTGGCATCCCCTTGATATCTGTCCCACAGCTGCACAGTCTCTGTCCTCAAGGTGTTGTGGTGCACATCTAGAATCCCAGCACTTGGGAGGGTTAAAGAGGAGGAACTCCAAATAAACCCTACCCCTTCAGCTTTGGATGTCAGGCATTCTGACTCAGCAATGACAGAAAAGTAACTACTAACACAGAGTGCAAGACAAAGTAAATGATCTCTCTCATGGAGGCAGGACGCAGATACCAATATCCCCTCAGAGGGGAAGCCATCATCGACTTAACTGGCCTCCACTAAGCCCCACTTCCCAAAGCTTCCACCAGGTCACAACAGCACTTGCATCTGGCAACCAATTTTCAACATGTGGCCTTCAACATAAAAACCATTGTATTGAGATCATATGCCTGGAACCACAATGTAGAAATGGCACCTTTTATAATATGCTTTTTCACTTTATTTGGGACAAAATATGTAGCACTGCAAAGATCAAAACAGATGAACTTTTTGTGACAAATTATGGTAAAAGTCATTCAAGTGATACCATCAATTATGATATAACCCTGTATTTGCATTGTCAAGCTGAAGTTTCATTCACTCATTGAAGAATGAATAGGAGCACAGAAAACATAGTCAAAGAAATTAACTTGGTCTTGGCCCTTAAAAAATTAAGTGAAGGAGTCTGGTCCTCACACTTAGGAATGGTAAAAGTTAAAGGTAGGATTCAAAGCAGGCATGCTGACACAGGCCTGTAACCCCAGCATTCTGGGAGTCTGGAGCAGGATGATAACCCAGCCTGGGCAGCATAACAACTTAGTGAGATCCTGTCTCAAAACAAAAATAGAAAGGGTTAAGAATTTAACTTACTATAAAGGTTTAATGCTCTGTAGTGCAAATAAAATAAAATAAATAATACAACATAACTTAAAGATATGATTTTAAACTGCAGTTTCAGTTTAGAAGTAAATAAATCTGGTGAGTAGTAAAGACTGTTCTGTTAGGGTGATGAATGACCCACCATATTTTCTATGCATGTTAAGGTGTGAAATGCTCCATCCATTTAGTTTTGGCATTTGGCTCAAGCTCCCCAAACCAACTTCCTCACTGGCTTACGTCCTGGTACACTCAGCTTTTGGCACAGGAACTCCTACTAGAGAATTGGGGGTTCTTGGCATCAGCCTCCAGAGTCCTGGAGTCCTGCCCTGTGCCAAGACTACAAATGGAGGATTTGTGTTCTCTTTGTTTCCAGTTGCATCCTCTGGCTGGGACAGCCTTCTGTCCAGAAATGCTTTAAAAACTCTCTATTTTTGTTTCTGTTACTGTTTCATTTTCATGCATCAAGATCTCAATATCCATCACTTCCTAAATTCTCAGGCTCATGTTCCACTGGTGAAAGGGATCCTCAAAGCTACTCTATTTGGAAAAATATCCAGTTTAAGGGATCTGCTCAGGCAGTAGTTGCCATTTTCAATTCTTTCAAGCAACGTTGATGAAACCTGAATCACTAGTCTCTTCTGTCCCCAAAGCTCCAGGCAATAGTTTGGTCATTTCGCAAAATTCTCCCTTTAAGCCATTGTACCTTTTTGGCTAACTGAGCCCCCAAAGAAAACTCAGTAAAGGACAAATTATGGAATTCCTTCAACACATAAAAAGTAAGTTTATCTTCATAGGCTCTTCATTTAGTTTGATAAATTCCTGCCGATGAAGTTGAAACTAATATATGAAGCTTTGAGGTGAGGTTTTAACTCTTCTGTGTTGACCGAACCTCATGGAGTTGGTGATTTGAATGATCCAGCTGCACCTGCAAAGATCAGAAAGGCATGGTAGCACCCAGGCTCTGTGTTCACCTAGGCTGAACTAGTGTTTGTACTGGTGTGTAGGGAAATGTGAGGAATACTGTATCCTTGTTGACACTAATAAGCTGTAGCATCTTCAAACTGCAGACTGTTTATGGGGAAGGTGAAATCTGACCCAGATCCACTGCCACTGAACCTCAAAAAGATCCCAGAGATGGACTGGGAACCCCACTTAATGAGGAGCTTTGAAGCCTGAATTGTTTTCTGCTGGTACCAGTGTAAGTTGGAGCCAATGTTCTGACTGGCCCAGCAGGTGATAGTGGCTCTGTCTCCCCTTGCATCGCAGATAGGACAACTGGAGACGAGTTC